TGCGCCTGCTGTATTCACATTTGAGTTGATGGGCTTTTCATTATTTTCTTTTTCTTCTCCTTCGATTACTTTTTTTTTTCCTTCTTCTTTAAATCCCTGCTCATTTTCTGAGTTTTTCAATACCTTTTCTTTTGATGATTTAAAGAGTGATTTTGGTCTCTCATCTAGAAACATTTTTTTTGTGAACCTTCTGTTTGAATTTGCTCTTGCTCTCCCTTCTTCTTCTACCTGAGATGCTGTGCTTGGCTTCCCTTCATCATTTACATTTTTTTTGCTTTTTGAGTCATTTTCATTAGGTAAATAATAGGAAAAATTATGCTTTTTGAAATTAAATATATCAGATTCACTTTTAAATTTTCTGTTTTTTTTTCCATTTGTAAGGTGATCAATATCAAAAGCATTTTCTTTATTTTTCATCTCGTTACCATTTTTAAAATCCTCGAAATTTTTTTTTGTCAAAAATTTGTTAAACACAGTACTCTTTCTTTCGTTATTAGCAATGGGACCGACACTTTGTCTATAACTCGGAGCATCTCCTGCTGTTTTAGGCAGTTTCATGTTGTAGGTAGTATAAACCTTTGGAGAATTTAATAATTCAGCAAATCTAAACCCATCTAAAGATTTCATCCTGTCATAGATTTCATTAGCCTCCCCTTGCTGCAGTACAGTTGGCTTGTACATCATCGCATTGTTGGGCTTATTTGATTTTGATACTTTCAAATCTTTTATTGCTTGGTCGTTATTTTCTAAGTTTGCAAAAGAACCTAAATTATAATGAGAAAAAAAAATTTGGGTTTTTTTTTAGCATTTATTCATCAATACCTGCATTTAAGTTTTTGTGAAACCAGGTCATAGTATTAAGATCTTTTCCACTTAATCCTTTAGCGACTAATTTACTGTTAGCGCTTAATCTAAAAAGAGCTTCCCTAGACGTGGAAATATAAGAATTTTCTCTTGTTTCAGTATCATGATGTTGAACCAGTAATTTAGAGTAAGGAGCAGTTCTCACTTTTTCTTTTCTCAAATATGGGGAACCAGGAAAAGTTTCAACAATAATTTCCGTTTCTGTGATATCATCTGTAGAGCCGGTGAATTTATTATTCTTCACTACTGGTATACTCGGTTGTTGGTCCTTTTTTTTTGTTGGTGTATTTCTTTTAGCACTGATGATAGTTTTCGATGATTGTTTTGCTGTTTGCAATCTCAATTCATCCAGCTGAAGTTTATTTTTTTTTTCCGCCATTAACTTAAAATTTTTTTTTTGTAAAAAATTATTGTTTAAAATTAATAGAGTATAAAAAATATTTTTGTAAATGTATACTTGTTGATACTGTTTATCATCATCGTTATTAAGGTGACTCCATGGTTGAGGGGTAATTTCTTGCCCATCGAATCCCAGAATACCCATTGATCTATTTTCTACTATTTTTTTTTTTTTTAAACCAATCAAATTGTTTTATAAAAATCTACAATGATACCTTTTTTTTGGGTTACCCATAACAGTCATAGAGATTTGAAAGTTTCAGGAGAGAATATTGTAATGAAGAGTCAAAAAATTTGAAACCCTCTGGGAGCAAATACAATCACATCTGACTGCAAACATCATTGTAAAAAAAAACACCAAAACATTTTTTAACAATACTTTATTTTTATTGCAGTTTTTGAGATGTAAGTTCTCATTGTCAAGCTGAATAAAGTCGTAACTGTAACAGAGAAGGACTGATAGTGTTTTTATATCTTCTGAATTTATTGTTGAGTCCAAATTATTTTTTAATAAGAAAAACCACTTTATCCTTCTTTCATATTATTTTATTTAACCAACTAAATCATTCTTTTTGTTAACAATTTTTTACGGTAGATATAAATTTTCCACATAGAAATATCACAGAAATTAAGCTTAACGTCAATACCATAGAAGTTACCTTTTCTTTTTTTGTGTAACCAACAAGTTGCTCCAAAAAAAATTTTTTTTTATAGCTAAATGAATTCAATTGTCCATGATGACAACGCTTCGCCTATTATCGGACTAAAAGTAAAATTGATAACAACTTCTGATATAGTTTATGAGGGACTAGTATACGCTTACGAACCAACGATCAACTTGCTCGTTTTACAAGAAATCAAATTGACCTCAACGTCAAAAAAAAAGCAGCATAACTTTCACCTATTAAAATTAAGCTTTATTAAAGAAATTTTAAAATCTACTTCAAACAATTCAGAAAATAGCAACATGAAACATGAGTTAATACCAGTAACAAAAGTAAATGAACATATAATTACTAAAAGGGAACACGATGCTTTGAATAAAATTGGCCTAAATGTTTCTGATCAAGCTCAAGTATGTATTGAATTTTTTTTTATTTCCAATATTTGGTAAACTCTGTAAATTCATGAACAATGGTTTGTTAGTCAACAATTGTATTTATGGTTTACTTGGAGAGTAAAATTCTTTTTTTTTTTTTATTTTTTTTTTAAAAAAAAAAAAAATTGTGAGAAAATTAAAAAAAAAAAAAAACAAGCGATTGATATACCACATGTTTTGTTTCTTCAAAAAAATTTTTCTACATTCTTTTGAATTAATTTTTTTTTTAAAAAAAAAAAACCTGCAACAAAAAAAAAAAATTAATGTTTTTATTTATTTTTTTTAAAGTTGATATTTGATGCTTTGAGTAAAACACTTCCAGTAAAATGGAAGGACGATAGTATTTTGGTGTTAGATGAAGTGTTGATAACAGATCCGTATAAAGTAGAAAACTGTAAAGTATTGATAAAAAAAAATAATGCCAACAATAGTCAAGCATTTGCTAGAGTATGTAAAGTTTTGGAAGGAGAAAGAAAACGGCTGGGATTATAAATTTTTTTAATAAAGAATTACCATTTTTTTTTTTTAATTTTTTTTATATTATTTTATTGTTTTAAAAAAAAAACTGGTATTTTTTTGTAAGGCAATCTGATTTACTTGATATAACTTTTAATTAAGGGTAATTTATAAAATGAAGACTTATATAGCAAATTTTTAAACTTTTTTTTTTATTTCGCTTGTATAACAATTATAGCTTTATTTTCCTTCAACATCTTAAATACATACAATAAGATTATAACTAAGACTTTATTTTTGATCAACACCTAAAAATAAAGAAGTAATATAAAAAAGAAACAGTAATTTTTTAAAACAAAAACATAAAATTTGAGATGAAAAGTAAATAAAAAAAAAATTGTAATTAGAATTATTTATAAAGTAAAAACCTTTTAACATAATTATTTTCATGAAACTTGATTAAAAAAAAATGATAATTTAAAAAAAAAGTTGGTGTTAAGAAAAAATGAAAGGAAAAGAAGATGTAACAAATTATTAAAAAATGACAATTTTTAAAAAGAAATAAAAATTTAAGTAAATATTTTTAAAAAAGAAATAAATATTTAAGTAAATATTTTTAAAAGAAAAAAAAAGAATTTTAGTAAATATTTTTATAGGAAAATATCAGTTAAGTTTAATTGAAATTCTGTAACTTAAAATTGATTGAATAAAATTTATATTTTTATCTTTTCAAAGGACCGATGCTTTTTTAAATTTACTATTACAATTTGGATTTTATTGAGATATACAGTAATTACTACACTCATATTAGTTGGATGTAACAAAATCTTTAATAATTAAAACTTTAATTCAAGATTAATTTGAATTTTTTTAAACCTAAATCTAAAAAAAAAAAATGAATTAAAAAAAAAAATTAATAGTTAAATATTTATAAAAAAAAAAAATTACTTACTGAAAAGATATTTTTGTACATAATACAAGTGATCAACTTGTGCAGCATCACTTGAGATAGAGCAAATGGAACTGTAGTATTTTGACTATTTTTGGTCACATTTGTTGTAACATTATACAGAACTAGTATCCAAAAGTTTGGCCAAACTTTCTAGCTACCTTAAATCCAGGATATTTTAAGGCCGTTGTGATTATATTGTCTAATTTTTGTCAGAAGAGCAACTTGGTGCGTGATATGTGGTGATATCCTCATAAATTTCTCGTCACTACAACCTTCCATCACAGGAGAATTCACCAGAATGACATGGTACTGGTTAAGGACTTGAAACTTGAGAGGCAAGAATACTGTTAAACCCCTGGAAATTGAACGGTTAGAGGTATTCCACTGGTATTCCACTGATATTACACTACTGGTGTTACATTGATATTAATGTAATATATTTATAAATTTTAATACCAAAGTGATAATTGATAATAGACAAAGGTGCATTTGCAACCAACTTACTAACTTGATATCTCCTGCATAAAATTTTTTGCTCTGTTTGAATAAAACTCTTTTTCCTCTTTATATTTTTTTTTATAGTTCCTCCGTCCTTACATCCCTAATCATGAAAGTTTCTGCGAATAATAATCACCAAAGATTTAGTATCAAACCAGCAGTCCAAAGTGTCATCTAAAAAATCTGTTAAATTACTTTTGTTTCGAAATGTTCTTTTGCCTGAAAATATCTCACATCCTCTTCGTCCAATCCCTTACAGAGATCATCAGTTGACTGCAAAGGTAAGTCTCCAGCTACTAATGCAGGATCTTTATTAATTTATTTTCACTTTTAGATTTTACCTTTCAAAGTTCCCCAAGCTATAATTCCTTGTTTTTGGGTTTCTCTGTTAATATAAGATAAAAAGTGGTAAAAATAAACTTTTAAGTAGAATTATTCATAAAATAAACCTTTCAAATGTACTTTTTTTCATAAAACTTGATTAAAAATAGAAAAAATAACAAAAAATAGTTGGTAAAGGTATATGTTAAGAAAAATGAAAGTAAAAAAAAGATGTAGCAAACACTTAAAAAATGACCAATTTTTTTAGAACGAGTAAAATTTAAGTAAAATAAAAAAAATTATTACCAACAACGAAAATGCCACCATATTTTTTTAGCACCAGAAGTAAAGCTTCCAAAACACCTTTTCTACTCAATAATTAAAAAGACCCAGTTTTGTTCTAATCAAAAAGTCACTTTGGCGGAGTGGTTAACGCGATGGCCTGCTAAGCCATTACTCTCTGAGTGCGCAGGTTCGAATCCTGCAGGTGACGTTTTTGGACTTTAATTTTTTAAAAGTAGGAGAAATGTTTTTCCGGATAAAAACTGGAAATATGAGGCTTTCTGTCTAATTTTTTATATTTATTCATTTTATACAAATTTAAAAAAACATGCATCATAATAATATGAAGAAAAAAAAAAAATGTAATTAAAAAGTTTGTAACAAAGGATTTCTTTTTTTTTTTTTTTTTTTCAAGAGTTACCGCTTTAATAAATATTATGGTTAATATCTCCACATGAAGCTTTTTTTATAAAAAATTTCCTTTGTTGATTATATGATATCTTAAAAAAATTCCTTGGTTGATTATATCTTAAAAAAAATCTTTTTCTTTGATGTGAGTGAAGTCACTGTTCCGTAAATATTTACTAATTAAGAAATTTACCAGTTGCATTTTTAATACTATCATTAATATGCAACCCTTCGCTTTTATATCTTGGATAATATTCATGTAATACTAATTGAGCAAATGCAACAGTAATATCATCAATATTAGTTCTTAGACTTTCATCCATCAGATATTTATGTTGTTCATTGTCATCTTACTTCTCTTTTATTATATTCTTATCTTTTGTAAATATTCTCTAACTTTTTCATCTGGAAATATTTGTTTAATAATATTTAATGTTCTTTTTTTTATTTTAACTTTTTCATCTGGAAATATTTGTTTAATAATATTTAATGTTCTTTTTTTTATTTTGTCAATATGTTCTTTTTTATAATATCTAGAGAAATTAAACTTTATGTCAGATGACATTGATGCAAAGTCTGTTTTTATACCATTCTAAATTTCATGTTATTTAAATCATATATACCGTCCTTAAACCTAAATATAGGTGATATATCTAATATTTTGTGAACTGTTTCATCCAACATACTTAATTTGTTATTTCTCTTTAAGATGTTTTATTCTTGTATATCGAAACTCATTAAGAGAAATTATAAATTTGAGTAAATAAATTTTGTCATTAAAAAAACTAACAAGGTTGAATTTGGATATATTTTCCCTTGAATGTACGTGGAAGAATACAATAAAATCATCATAAGATAATAATACCGATCATAATATTACTCAGTTATTAATTATTTAGGTTATATCGAATAAAATGAAAAAAAAATATTCCCATTTATATATGTCCATGTAAAGAATAGAAAATAAGCATAACAAAATTGTAAATCCTATGGTAATTACTCTCTCTCTCTTAATATATTTATGTTAAAGGTAAAGATGTTGTTATGATCAATGTAATTTAGTGTTTGTAAGTATATTGTTTATATCTCCGGTTCCCGTTCGCATATGATTGATGTAGATAAACTATTCATATAAAAAATAATTTTATTTTAAAGAATAATTAAAATATTAAAATTGAAAACAGAGAGAATAATTTTAAAAAGAATGAGATCTTATTAATCAAAAATATTTTCTGTTAAACTTTATTAATACTATTTATAATAATTGCTATTATATACATGCTCTAAGCTTAATTTTATTATTTTCATGTTGTGTTCCTACAATATTCCTTAATTCTTCAGTATTTATTATTTCGGTTATTTCCTCTATAGATATCATTGTACAATTAACAAATATTTCGATTAATGATGTTATATCATTTGATAGTTGAGCTGTCTCAAGGGCTTTTATATATTTCGACCTGCAATTTTTTCTTATAGATATCGGGGGTAAATTAGCTTTCATCAAGGGAATTGAGGATATAAGTCTTGCTATTTTACCGTTCTCGTTACTAAATGGATGTATTATACTTAATGAATGATGGAGCCAAGCAGCTATAATATAAGCCTTTAAAGGATCGCTTCTAAGGAGATCAGGATTGATATTTGAATTGTTATATTCCTCGAGCAGTTTTTCAATAAATGGTTGTATATCGAAAACATTAGAAAAATATTTATGTTTTTTATCTTTGGTCATTACATACATGTTGCAATTTCTCCATCTATCTACTTCGGTTAAAGCATAAAACGTAAAGTTGCTATCATAAGAATGTTTTGTAATTTTTGTATTAGCCACCAACTCCTTATGAACCTTCATTATAAGTTCAGATGTTAAGGGTTGAAGGCTTGTTGACTCACAAATATCAAATGCACATAAAGTATTATCCAGGATTTTAACTACTTCTTCGCTGTTCTTTATTTGACTACGACTATCAACTTTTATTAGATCATCATAATAAAGTCCAGACTTAATAATATCATTAGTAGTCTCTGGCGTAATAGAAAAAATGTTTTCAGTTTCATTTGCATCTATTGCAGCCAAATGTAAAAAGGCTTTTCTATATCTTTTCGTAAATTCATTTGATATCCAAACAGACTGTATATATTGTATTTTGTTTAATTGCGAGTAGAAATTAACAATATCTGTGAGCTTTGGAGGATCATTAAAATATAGTTTCCTCTCACATACTTCATAATATTCTTCATTTGTACTTTTTATATTTTCTGAACATTCTTTTTCTATAAGTATTTTCCATTGAATTAATTTATCATCTATTATACAAAAAGGGGTACATAATTCAACTAATTTATTGAGTAAATTTAAGCAATCAGTAAAATTAAGTAAACTTGCATACGTACTCGCTAAATTTAACATTAATATAGGTTGATTAGGATATTTATTATGAAGATATTCTAATGAATAAAATCTTTCTTTAATATCCCTGTTTTTTAGAACTTGATCTATTTTTATCCGTTCTCTTATATTAATTGGTGCTCCATACCACAAATTCAACAGATTATTCCCTTTCCACATTCCATTGAAATTTAAATCTCCCAGATATTCAAAGGGTATAGACATTTATTGGTGTACGTATTTATTAATTTCTGTATATATTAAGAATAAACTATTTTGATCATTTTAAATTATTTGATAAAAAACAAATTAAAACAAGTAAAACTTAAATTATATTATAGTAACCTTTACAAACTATTTTACTATTATAAATCAAGCTTTTGTAATACGTTTAATTTCAAGTTATAAAATAGTAGTTGTACAAATATTCGTTTAATTTTTTTGTGTTTTGTTTGTGACTTAGTTTTTATGGTCTCGGAAAAAAAATTTTTTGGGGACCTAGTTTTCTTAATTGACCAGATTTTTTTAAATGATTTCGTACTCAGTAGAATCAATATTATACGACCATAAGTGAATTGTTTTGCTATTATATACTGAGTGCTATCAGTAGAGATTAAGATCATAAAATATTCTTTCTGCTAACTTATCAATTCATTTAATTTTTCTTAGCTTTGTTTCTGACTTAATTTTTGTGGTTTAAAAAAAATTTTTTTGGGGACCTAGTTTCCTGAATCGACTGGGTTTTTTAAAATGAATTTATGTACAAACAAGAATAATTAGAGAATTTGAAGTAAAAGACAAGGACAAATTCTCCTTTTTTATAATTTATTGTTTCTTTGAGCAAATTTCTCCTTTTTTATAATTTATTGTTTCTTTGAGCATTTGTTTCATTCTTGAGTGTTGTATTATCAACTAATAATATACTACTTTCTTCCTTAGAATCAATACAAGATAAATCAAAAATATAAACGTAATTTATATTGTTATTTCTTTTTTAAAGATATATTGAGTTTAGAATTCATTAATTGATATTGACGCGTATTATGACATTTTAACTTCAGTACTAAACCAACATGGACAATAATCAAAAAATATGCAAAATATGCTTGCTATATATTCCACCTTTTGCTACAAATGTACTTATTCCGATATATGTTCTTTTTTGTAATATTAATATTTGTGTTGACTGCGATCTTGTATTATTCACTGCAAAATCTAGTTTTTAAAAATTAACTATTGTTTGTAAAACATTTATTTAATATTTCTTATATGATAACATATTATATGTTTTATTTTCTATTTCTAATTGTAAGCGATGTTCAAAAAGCAAAATATGATATATAATGATCTTTAGTATTCATCTAGAATATTGTTTATGTATTCAGTAAGCAAAGTATTAAAATTTCTAATATTTGAAGATAAAAAAACTTTGTTATGTTCATAAGAAATTTTAGGTTGTACCCATAATCTATAATTTTTTAAGGAAATACAAAATACAAAATTCAACACGGTAACAAAAATACAAAAACAAAAACTTACTATTTAAAGGGAAGTGTAGAAAAATTTCTCGATGACATAGATTGCAAAGATTCTAGTGTTCTAAAAAGTGCGTTATTAGATTATAAAGAACATGAGTCAATGAAAAATTGCAAAGAATATAAATATCTAGCAAAACCTTTTAAAGATCATATTGTAAGTAAATTAATAGTAAAATAATTTAATTCTACTGAGCTTTTTTGTTTTTTTCTTTAAAAAATTTAATCTTTTGTTTTAATATTTTACTTTTTAAAAAGGGACAAGTAATATTTATTCTTATGTTTCTAAATTACACTTATCTATTAATAAGTAAACAAATGAACAAAATAATTTATCTTTAAGTAAGGTTTTGTTTTATTAAATACATCAATTCCGTCAAAACCTTCTCTCTATTTAAAAAGTCAAACTATTTCCAGGTTTTATGACAATCGTTGCATGTATAATAAGTACTCATACCTTCATCGAGTCCCCTGTCTTGTTTTTGAGTAGATCCTATACTATTTTTCCCACATGAAATACATTTCATTGTATTGGACCTTTTTGAATATCTACATCCTTTGCTATTAATATTATCTAATATCGAGCTTCATCATTAATTGAGTATGATATTCCTGGAATTTCCTCCATCGATTTATTTCAATAAAACTGAGATAAATTTAATTTTTTTTTCTGTTTCGTGTTACACTAACCAAAGCCTTTTTTTAAAATAGTCAAGCCAAAATAGCCATTTAATTTGGCTTGCCACAACTCATTGTAATGAAAAAAGAAAATCTAAAAATTTTGGTTAACCACTCGATTTTTTTAAATTCATTTGCATATCATAGTATCTATCTAATTCATCACATTTGGTGTTTGATGAAGAAAATTTTTTCAAG